TTTCCCATACTTCTTGTAACTCTTTAGTAGTGAACAAAGTATCTTTCATAGTCTGGTCCCAATGTAACATTGTTTCTTGCCATACCCCTCATCTAAATCCCAAGATCAAGTCATACTCTATTATTAACAGCTGCTCAAATCACACAAACATATATTTTATGTATGCTCTTTCTTCTATTTAGTGTGTTCATTCTACCTGGTATATTCCTACTAGGTTTTTAATATTCAGCTCAAACTTTATCACTGCTATAAATTGTAAAAGGCAGAGTTAATAATTTCCATTTCTGTATTCTAATGGCAATTTCTACATAATTTCTGATAAAGCACTGACAATGCTATACTGTAATTTATTTATGTAGGCGTTTGATGTTCCTATAGGCTGAGAATTCCTAGAGGATTAGACTACATCTGATTTTTGCATCCCTAGCATCTTAAATAGTGCTAGCATATGGGAAACACTGGTGGAATAATTTCTGAATGAATTTCCATATGCTCAAATCATAATCAATCTTCAAAGCTGAGTTCAAATTGTGTCTGTACAATGGCCTCCAAGGTTCCTCAGTTGTAAATAATCTTTCCTTTTTAACATTCTGTTATGTAACAATTAATTGTAACAATGCCACCTCTATTTGATTAGAAATTGCAGGTGGACTAGGTATCAGATTCATTTTTGAATCTACCAAAATACTTAATACTGTGTCCTGTACCATTAACTTAGTTTTATCAGTCTTTATTAGCTACTGTTGAATCTAGGTCTTTAAAAGAGTAAACTCAAAATTTATTTTTTTCTAATGACTCAAAGTTACACTTTGAGTGTAATGACTCAATGTTACACTTAACATCAAAAACAAGTAAGTTTATCCTCAAGTCCATGATATGGTAAGGTATCTGACCCTATATCTCTTTTCTCTCCCAACTCTCTTATTTTAGCCCACACTGTTTAGACATGGGCCTTTACATGGTTGGTTTTGCAATAGCAGCCTTCCTTTTCACTATTAAATATATTTTCCCATTATGTCAGACTTTCCTGATGTGCTCTCAGTGGTTTAATTCTCAGAAGTGTATTCTCCAAATAAAAAGTGTATTTAGGTGTTTTCACTGACTCAATGGACATGAGTCTAAGCAAGCTCCCGGAGTTGGTAATGGACAGGGAAGCCCAGCTTGCTGCAGTCCATGGGTTGCAAAGAATCGGGCATGACTGAGCGACTGAACCAGATGTTTTCATTAAGACGAGAGAAAAAAATGCATAGACCATTTTAAAACAGACAACACTGTTAATAGCCTGAGGCAGGATAAATTACAAATGGATAAAGGATTTAAGTAATTATAAAGATTAATAGTAAGCATAATCTGTTCAAGGAATATCTATGTAACTATTTCTTAGAGTTGAATGTTAAAACAAGTGTATGGAAGTCAAAGTTCCTTTATAGTTCACATCTGAGATCTTAACAGTCTTTTTCAGTGATAGAAACAGTACTGTGCTAGGCACAGAAATCATGACATCAGTGAATTACTGGAAAAGTAGTGTGTTGGGGAGATCAGGATTTGATTAAAAAGTTTTTAAGAGAAATTAAAGAATAATCAGATTCAGTTCAAAATCCACAGCTCTGGGGAAACACACTCTTTTCATTGGCCTACTTCGAACCATTTTAGGATGAAAATTTGATAAAATCAACTCTCAACTATTATCGAATGTATAAGTTCATTCAAAATTTGGTTCTTGCAAGTGTCTCAGGAACTGATATAGAGATGAGTGCTTCTGTACTGCTTTTAGCTAGAGCAGTTCCTTTTTCAGTGGCTTTATACATTGGACATGATTTTGTTTGAAGGGCTCCACTGCTAAAAACGCAAATCTAAAATTACTGATTTACATCAGCAGGGTTAATGAATTTCCCCACTGTAGCCATGGATGCTAGAGGAACAGAATGGTGCAATAGCACATGAGTCTGGAAATTAGGCTGATTCTACCCTAAGCCAGTCATTTAACTTCTCTGGATACTTGAGTACCTAATTTTTAAAATGAAAGGATCCTTTATTCAAAGGTGCTAGGTTACAAAACATAACCTTTAGGAATGCAGCCATATGGTTATTATGATAACATGCTACTACTCATGACAAGTATGTGACAATGTTTTAGTTTAAGAAAACAGCAAAACAGTAGAATAGCTTTTCAAAGACAATTAAAAAATGCTAACCGTGACAAACTCAAAGTACAGCAGAAATCTCTGAAACAGGAAGAATCAGGAAATTAAATCTTAACCTTGCCAAAATTTATCCATTATTACCCTTAATCCTAAAAAAATCTTGTACTTTTATCCAAATTTTCTAATACTCAAATGTATAATGTAGGAAAGAAGCACATTTCCCATATTCATAATCCAAAAGTGGTACCTTAGTGACATTCATTCTGTTGAGACTGTATCAGTCAAAAGAAATTTTAATTCTTTGTGGTTTAAACAGGTTTTCCTTGTTCTGTAAATACCTTATTTATATTTAGCTTCCTAATAATCACAATCAAAGAGCTCCTGCCATCTGAAGGACATCCCAAAATTACGATGAAAAGACAATCAGCAGTTCCTCCAGGACAAGTGTGTCTCATTTCTCACACCGTGAACTTTATACCAGACAGAAATCTGAAAGTTCTGTCAAGTTTCCACAGTTACATGACTTTGCATAAATGATAAACAGATGATAAAAAATTTAAGCTTGGTAAACGGTGAAAGTGTTAGTTGCTCAGTGAAGTAGCTCAGTCGTGTCTGACTCTTTGCAACCCCGTGGACTGTAGCCTACAGACTCGTCCCTCCATGGGATTCTCCAGGTAAGAATACTGGAGTGGGTTGCCATTTCCTTCTCCAGGGGATCTTCCCGACCCAGGGATGAAACCCGGGTCTCCCGCATTGCAGGCAGACGCTTTAACCACTGAGTCACCAGGGAAGCAGTTGTGTCCAATTCGTTGTGACCCTTGCCTGTACAGCCCTCCAGGCTCCTCTGGCCATGGAATTCTTCAGGCAAAAATACTGGAGTGGGTAGCCATTCCCTTCTCCAGAGGACCTCCCCTACCCAAGGATCAAACATGGGTCTCCTGCATTGCAGGCAGACTCTTTATCATTTGAGTCATCAGGGAAGTCCCTGGTACTCTATGGTTATACCTTTTTTTCCAAAAGGAAAATTTTAAATGATTAGGAGTTAGAAAGTTTTTCTTTTTGGTCAAAGTGCATGGATTTGACTTACCCCTCCGAGATCCTTAATGTCCTTTTGCAGTTTTTCAGATATGGTGACAGAAGGTAAGTCGATGTAAAATACTTTACCCCAGAGAGGTTTATATTTGGATTTTTCTGGTTTGTTATCAGTTTTCAGAGATTTCAAAGATGGTCGGTTTTTTTCATTTTTAACTTGGATTCCACCTGTTGTTTAAAAAATTCAGAATTAGATCATGCTTTATGTAGACAGAAAATTTTTCTTGTTTAAAAAAATTATGTAATAATCATATCACAGAGGAAAAAATATAATCCTACTAATTCAGCATTAACATTTTAATATATTTCCTTTGTAGTGTCACTTAGGATAATGGCAAAATGGTCTTTAAACCGATACTGTATGTCACAAAACGTTTATTGCTCATAGGAGCTGATCTGCAGGAAATATTCATGCATTTAATTGTTTTATGCATTAAGGCATGGAACTATATAAAACCAATTTAAAAGTTTTCGTAGGATGTAAACTCCATGTAGTATTTACTCAACAAATACTTACTGAGCTTCTGGCATTCTGTTGAACACTCAAAACTGGTACTGACCTAGTCCGCAAAGGTTCCTGACTGCTCAAGGTTAAGTTTCATGTAGAGTCAGTGTATATTAAAAAAACTAAATGGTCCACCTGAAGAACCAAATCACCATTCATTTCATTCTTTCCTTTGAAAACAGATGTGAGATACAAACAGATGCTTAAAAATTAAAGAACTCAAATCTGTTTATAGTAGGAGACCACGCATACAAACTGTACATAAACACACACACTATATATTAAGAAGAAACACTAAGAGGCCGGACTACTTAATAAGTGCCTGAAAATGAAAGTTTGCTGTTTGCTTTTGTTTCTGTTTCTAATGTTGCAGCAAAGGTGTGTTTGAAACAAAATACTTTGCTTCAACTTCGTAAGACCAAAAATCCACTATTTAATCAGGAAGCGAAAAGCCCCGAGCACATCTGCTTTTAAACCGAGGCTCGATCTGCAGCCTCCAAGGGTCGCAGCTTCTGTGGGAGCCCCGGCGGGTTTCCGGGTCCGCACATTGTCTTCTCGTTTTATAACCGACCGTATGACGAGGAATTTGGGGCCGAGGCTGGAGCGGGGAGAGCGCCAGGGGCCGGGATCCCTCTGCTCCCAGAACTGTGCCTTCCTTCCTTCAGGCCACAGAGCAGGACGCACGTGTTAGGCAGAAAAGCAGAGAGACCCAGGGCGAGAACTCTTTAGAATCAACAATGGAACCAGGAGGGGAGGAAAGGATTAAAGGGACTGCAAACGGAGGAGGGGCTTCCTACCCTGAAAATGTCCTTTGCTGTGGATCCTCATGGCTCCGGAGTTCATGGCAGCCGCCCGGCACCTACATGCTGGGTCGGGAGAGGGTGTTGCCCCGGGCCGTCTCGGAAACTCGGCTTCCTCGAGGCCCGTTGCCCCGCCGGTCGCCTCTCCCCTTCCGCGGGCCACCACACCCACGCAGTAGAGATGCCGCGCCTGCTGGCTTGGTTTCCGGGGCCGAAATCGGCCCCAGTGCGCCGAAAGGAAGAGGAAAAGCAAAAACGAGTGGACTGCGGCGGTTGAAGATTTGAAAACGCGTCACGCGGCCGCGGCGCCGATACGTGCGCCCCGCCCCCTCACGTCGCGCGCCCCGCCTCGCGCTCGCCCCCACGTGCCCGCCCCTCGCGCCGCGCGCCCAGTCCCTTAGTGCCCGCCTCCTCGCCCTGCGCGTCCCGCCCCTCGCGCCTGCGCCCCGCCCCCACGGGTGGTGTCTCTGTTCCCCGCCCGCTCCTCTGCGATGCCTTCTCCGCTTCACGTCCGCGCCCGGTGCTCGCCGCCCCGCGTCCTTTTGCTGCCCTGAAGAGTCCTTGTGGTTCCGAGTTGACCGAACAGAGTGAATGCAGTTAGCGTCGCCGGCCGGCCCAGCTCGCCACCGGGGTCATTCCAGCTTTCTAAGGTTGCCCGGACCGCCTGCCCTCCAGTTGCTTCCTCCAGCAGGTACGCATGTTCCCCGCGGGTCGACTGTTCCAGCTGCTGGGGACGCAGCGGTTTCGGCCGAGCCCGGACTCCAATTGGGGCGGGGCGGGTTGGCTGCTGCAGGCTCTGTTCTCCGCGCGCCGAGTGCGGTTTTCCCGCGGTCACCAGGCCATCTGGAGGCAGGCCGCAGAGAGATTTCACCGGAGAGAGCGGCCGGGGGGCGTCGGAGCGAGGGTTGGGCCAGGAAGCCCCCGGCCTACAAGCGCGTGCTGGGCGCCTTGTGCTTTTTGGTGTTTGCGTGCGCTACTCCATTGCCCTCTTGTACCTACACCTGATTTCGTTTCACTGAGAAGTTTATTTCAACAGTAACTGGAAAGGAGATTTGAAATCTCAAGTCTAGGATTTTGGGTCTGGACCTTCCACAGATCAATTTGTAAAAATTTGGTTAAATTACTTACTCCTTTTGAATCTCAGTTTTTTACATCTCTTAAAATGGATTTTGTAGTAAGGATTCCGTTGAGATGCTTTGAAAACTAAGTTAATTTCGTCTTGTGAGAAAACACTTAACACACACAAAAAAAAGGAGTTTGGTATGTTTCTGCCTGTAAACTTCTTAAGGAGTTAAAGAGTTAAATCTTCTACTATGCATTCCTTACCACCTGGCCGTGATAATCACTCATTGTTTGGTGGTTGATTTTTAACTTATTATGAAAAAGCTCAGGGAAGTTAGTGCCAGTACCGCTGTTCCACAAATAGGTACCTTAAAAAGCGTAGAAAAGGGGATGTTGTGAATACCTTTAGTCAAAATGGAGGACGCAAAGAGATGGTTCAGCTTTGCTAAGGGAAGTAAGAGTTTTGCTGTGAATAATGGCCTTAGTTTGAAGGGTCTGGGGAGATACTAAAGATCTGTTTTTATTAGATCGTTGGTAACATTTGTCTGTAGTTCACGAGATGTCTGGCAGAGAATGGTGGGCGTGTCGAATAGAGGGAAGATAGTTTGAGAGACTTAACAGCCCAAGCACTGATTCTCAGTCATGGGTTGATGCCTACGAGATTTTCAGAGCTTTAAAAGGCTGAAGGAGGTATAGTTTGGACAAACATTCAGCATTATAATTTCTATTTGGGAAGAATCTGTTTTCAAAATATAAGTTACAGGAAGAGCGCAAGGTTTTTATGTTTATAAAAAGTTTTAAAAGATTGAGAAACCCTGATGTATAATGCATTTAAAGTCATGGGAGGAAATGGAAATTGCCCAGGAGAGCATGTGAAATAAGAGAAGCAGTGATGAGCGGAGCATGATAAAATAGTGAAAGAGTTGGAGAAAAGGCCCCAGAGTTAGGAAGAAAACTTGGAATTAATCTTCAAATGTCACAAAATTATGAATGTTGGCATCATGCAGGCTTCACTGACCATATGATTTTTGGGTAATTTTGATCCTAAATTTTAATATCTGGAAAGGGAGTAATAAACACTTCTCAGATGTGAGAATTAATTGGAACATTTTTGAAAGCTTAATTAGTACAGTGCCTGGCACAGAGTAAGAGCTAAGTGCTGTCATCCTGGTGAACTCTATATCAGCCTCTCCATCTTCATGGGTTCTGAAAAGCTAAGATTTGAAAAATGAGCCTTTGATTTTGGTGTCTAAGATGTCCTTGGTGCCTTAGTGAGAATTTCAGGAGATGGCTAAGGTAAATACAGTACTGGATGAAAATGATGGGCTTGAAGTGGAGGTGGATTGAGTATACTCTTTGCAAAAAATGTGTCAGTGTAGGAAATTATAGTGATAGGAAGGGAAGATAGGGTCTTTGGAAGGTTTGGGGATATGAAAGTCAAAGTTTTAGTCGCTCAGTCATGTACAACTCTTTGTGACCTCCTGGACTGTACCTCTATTCATGGACTTCTCCAGGCAAGAATACTGGAGTGGGTTGCTATTTCTTCCTCCAGGGGATCTTCCTAGCCCACTTACTGACCCAGGTCTCCTGCATTGTTGACAGATTCTTTACTATCTGAGCCATCAGGGAAGCTCTTAGGGGATATGGAAAAGATTTAAATATGTTTCTGTTGAAAAACACAAAAATAGGAAGGCAAAGCTTAGGTACCTTTCTTATTTACTATAATGAGGAAGGACAGTAACATAGTAGCACCCTAGGCTTTGAGACACACCCTTGACTGCACTGCAGGTGATAATGCCAAGCTGTGAATAAGCAGGAAGTTTGTTTTGCTGCACAGTGTTAGAAATTTTCTGATCTATAACCCAAAGACAGTTTTAAAAAGTTAGTATTGGAGTTCAGATCTTTTGGTAGCCAATGGAAGAAGGATGTATTCATGTATCTATGGCCTGTAAACATAGACACCTCTTTACTATCATGTATATAATCAGGGTTATTGGTAAAAGAATAAGGTTTATGTTAAAGTATTTCTTGAGATGTGCTTTGGATGAAAGGTATGAATGCAAGAAGAGATACATGGAGGCAGCATTCCTTATGGAAAGTTGATTAAAGAGTTATGTTAAGCAAAGGTGGAGAACATGAGCAGAATCATGGTCTAATTAAATGAACATTTGGCAGTGAATCAGGAGAAAATGAGTTTCATTCAGTACTGACTCTGTTTCTACATAGTTTTTTGACCTTAGGTAAATATTAACCTTGCCATACCATAATTTCCTCATCTGTAAATGAAAATAATATGTGTTCTGTCTAACCCACAACTTTTTGTAATTATCAAATGAGACCTTTGCTTTTCAGACCACCATATATATATATATATATACACACACACAAATATAAATTTTTTATTCTTGAATCTAGACAAATGGATTATTCATTTTTCTGTAATACTACTATCCTTTATTTCTTTTCCTTAAGCCTCTCTACCTGGCTGATAATTGTTCCTCTTGCCTTTTCATAGCAAGCCTGACTTAGAATCAGCTTTTGTCTCCTTCGGGCCTTCAGTAGTAGCCCGGTTTGATTTATTTGCCAACTATTGATATATTGTCTGCTGAAATGTGTTCTGTTGCTGTGTTTATTATTTTAGAGTCTCACTACCCTGGTGAATTGGAGGGCCTTAAGGTTCTTCTGAGGTTAAGTTCTTAGTTTTGTAAGCTAAGCATATGAAAGAATAGAGTTGAATAGTGTCTGTGGCACTGAAGTCCATGTCTCAGTTGACTGGGAAACCAAAGAAAATTCAGTGTATCAAGTCCTTGAACACAGCCTAAGTAAAGGGTCAAAAATGGAGAGCAATGGAGAAGGAAATGGCAACCCACTCTAGTATTCCTGCCTAGGAAATCCCATGGACAGAAGAGCCTGATGGGCTAAAGTCCATGGGGTCACACACACACAAAATAATGGAGAGCAAGCAAGACAGGAGAATTCGAAATTTGAGAGTCACCCTGGGACAATGTAATCTAGAGGCTGTTGTGGCACCTGGAGGAGCTGTGAAGGATAGTGAGTTGGTTCAGAGGTTGTATTACATTCTTTAAGACTCCCATAGAAATCTCGTGTATTTACAAAGTTTGTAATACCTTTTTATAATGCACATGCAATAAAATACACCCATTTTAAGCATACAGATTGATGAGTTCTAACAAATATATATATCCATGTGATTACCACCTCCCCCATCAAAATAAAGAACATTTCTGTCACCTCAGAAGGTTGTTTCACTCCTTGTTCCAGTCTCCTTTCTCCTGCCATTGAAACCACTCTTCTTTTTTTCTCTCTTTCTTATTTTTTAATTTATGAAAGTATGATAGCACATTTACAGGAGATTTGGAAAATACAGAACAAAGTTATATACAGTTGCATTATATATTGCAGTTATTTTTTAAGTAGATAATTGAGATTTTAGTTGGAGTTTCAATATCAAACTCTCAAAATTTAACTGAATGAATATACAGAAAAGTAGAAGGATATAGTAGACCTGAAAAGCATCATGAACCAATTCAACATAATTAAGATTTTATACAAGTTTCACACAACAGAAGGATACAAATTCTATTCAGGTTCCCATAGATTGTAAACTAGGAGACACTGAAACATATCCAAGTACTTTATAAAACAAGGTGCAAAAATTTCATGATCTAAAGGTATTGAAATCATACAGTCTGTTCTTTTATCACTGTGAAATTATGTTAGAAATCAATAGCAAAGGATATTTGAAAGGTAACTACTCCTCTGATTTCTAATATCATAAATAAATTTCCCTATATTCCAGCTTCATGTAAATGGAATCCTATAATTTATATGTTTTGCATCTCAGATATTTTGCATAACATAATATTGTTTATGGTTCATCAATGTTGCATGTATCTATCAGTAGTTCCATTCCTTTTCATTGTTGAGCTGTTAGAATATGCCACAGTTTATCCATCATCTGTTGATAGATATTTGGTTTATTTCTAATTTTGGTCTGTTAGGATAATGCTGCTGTGAACATTTGTATGTAGTTGTGGACATTTTTGAAAGTTTTTCTTGGAGTTGATGGATCTACTGAATATTTAAAGTGATGAACAGCTATAGAGTTTTTTGGCTGCACTGGGTCTTCATTGTGGGGTGCAGGCTAATCTTGTTGTAGAACAAGGACTCCGGAGCACACAGGCTTTCTAGTGGCTGTTTGGACTCAGTAGTTGTGGTGCGCAGGCTTAGTTGCTCCATTGGAGAAGCTACAGACGTTTTTAATAACCATTCCCTCCAGCAATGTATGAGAGTTCCAGTTTTTAAACATTCTCCTCACTCACTGGGTGCAAACTAGTATCTCATGTCATTTTTTAAAAACTTGAGATGAAATTCTGTAACATGAAATTCATTTAAATTATTTTGAAGCGTGAAGTGCCTTTCAGTGTATTCACAGTTGTGCAACCATCGCCACTAGAATGTATGCAGGACCGTAGAAAGAAATCTGTAGAAAGAAATTAAACAGGCATTCCTGATCTCACCCTCCCACCCCCCATCCCATGGCACCTACTAATCTGCTTTCTGTTTTTATGGATTTGCCCATTACAGATATTTCATGTAAGTGAAATC